TCTCGCAAGGCATTTGGATGGGTACTGGGTCTGCCCTCATGTTGCTGTGCTTTCTAAAATTACATGACCTTTTGGTGTATGTTTAAATGTTTGCGGTGATTACAGCATGCGCCTTTATTATAAATGTATTAAATCTTTCAGCTGCAAAAACTGCATTTGTGTATTCATACGCTCACCAAGAACTGAATTACTACTTTACGTAGATATCATTGGATCTCTTATATGACTAGGGTGATTTTCATTTATTTAAAAACAAAACTGAAAAATACCACTGCTGTGACTTGGGAGAAGAGGCAGGGGATTATGCCACAGAATGAAAATGCCAAGTCTCCGAAATGTTACAGTTTGCTGTTGTGTTTGATTTTCATAATTCAACATATAGAAATAAAGAAAAAAAAAACAACCCACCCTACGCATGTTTTATTGGTAGGCTTATCTTTTCATTATCAGTTTTTTTTTATTTTTTGGAGAATAAGGCATAAACGGGTAAGAGATTTCTTAGAGTTTCTGTAGATGAGACGCTGCATTTACAGTTCCCTTTGGTAGTTGAAAACTACAGAGCCTATCTCCCTCAAATGTTTACCTGCAGTCAGATTTTACGTTTCCTTCTTTATAGACAAAACTATTTCTACATTGTGACCAGTTAGTTTTGAATTTGAGATTAACTGTAGTGTAAATTTAGAATGATCATCACTGATTTGAAAGCTTTTGTAATTTATTCTGCCATATTTATTACTCAGATGAATTTTGAACTGTTCTAATGATCCAAATAAAATATATATTGTAGTGTTGTGTCAATAAATTTCTACAAAATTTATGGTATGTGAGATGAAATGACAGAACTATTTAGACAGAACTATCTGCCTTTTATGTAATATGCCTCCTTTCTTTGACTTAGGTGGAGATTTTTTTTTCCCCAGAGGCTGAATATTTCTTATGATTCCGTTGTACTTCCAAATGCAGTAGAACATAAAAAACTACAATGTTTAGAAGCTGCATTATAATAAAAACTTGAAACTCTTAAAGATGCCAATTTTTTGTTGTAGTTTATTCGAGCTGTAAGAGCAACACCTTTTATACTTTTTTTATGGTAATTTAATAGTTATTTGTCATTAAAGTCTGTTGGAAGTGGTGCTGTAGGTAACCATTTTTTCAAGTTTATGCCTCTGATGTTAGTGTTATCCCTCTGAGGATTTTCCACAAGGTTACATAATTTGCTCGTGACTACAGTAAACACTTGCTGTTGCCATCAGCAGTGTACAAAGTGAGTTTTCTTACTCTTGTTGCTCTCATGCTGCATGTTACTACTGGGGAGTACCACAGTATTGAAGATACCAGCCTACCTAAGTGCAGGAAAGTAAGAATAATACTGTGAAAATAAGTTGGCAGATTGACCAGCCTTTCTAAGCATGCTGATAGGTGGAGGAGCTGCTGAAATTACTTAATGTTTAATTCCAGGCAGCAGAGAAAGAGAACAGATTTTCCCAACATGAACTCTCTGTTAGAAGGAGGAAATGTAGTTGAATTAAGTCTTACTGTGCCCTCAAAATGCAGCTTGCTAAGTGGCCCATTTTGTTAATCACAGTTGGCTGTGGAAGATATTTATATACAGGGCCCTTTTCCCTTTATTTATTTTTTCTTTTTATTTATGGCCTTTTTTCTGTTTTGTTTTTGAATGTTTCTTTATCTTCAAACATCCCTTTTACTTCAGAGAAGGAAATTGCCCAAAATCATGGGGAAGCCTTGGGCTGCATTATTATTCTAAACAGACTATTGGCATAATAGTTTCTTAAGTTTTGTAAAATAAGCTTGGTCATTGTGCTTGGACTCCTGTAAACTCTTACCACTCCCTTTAAAAAGTATACCCCCAGTTCCCTTGGCTCCCAAAGAATTACACTAGGCTTTGCAATGAAAATGTCACTTGGCTCAAAGGTAAAAGTAATATGTTCCTACTTCTGTAAATAGGAAAGGTGGTGCTTTGATGTAATAGGGTAACTGTGGCCTTTTAGCAGCCTCAGAGTGTACAACAGATGTTAGAAGTGGGTTAGGAATTGGTTTATTACTTTGTATCCCAACTGTGCCAGTGCAATTCAGAGAATTTAAATCTTTGAAGTCTTTGATAATTTTTTTCCATATTCTGGATGAAGTGTAGTGTGGTGCTAAAAAATGTGATTTATCCCCAAACTTAATTTATTTTCCTTCTTTTTACCATGCTTATATTTCTTCTAGACTGCTTGGGTAGGTGGAAGACCCAGCAGAGGCTACTCGGTCTGGGGTGCCACATGCACCACTTGAGCAGAGTGAAGGAGGGAACAGTTAATTCTCTACAACCCTGAGTCACTCTAAGGACAGAGCAAGATTGGACATTGAAGCTCTGGATTTCAGCTCTTGAAATGGTCTTTAATGTGAGAAGATTAATTTTCAGAGACTTCATCCATTGCTTCGAGGAGACCAAATACTGTGTTCTTTAAGCCATCCTATCAAATTTCAACATTAAAGCCCTGATTGTGAAAGAGTTAACATACACAGCTGAAAAAATGTTCTTCCAGTTTTGTTCTAGGAAACAACTAAGGGGTTTTTTGCCTAAAAATTTCTGGAGAAGGTCTGCCATCTGGTATAGAAAATTTTAGTCCAGACTTAATTTGGAAAAAATTTGACAAATTAAAAATAGTTGTATCATCTTAATTGTATGGCAGGCTGCATTGTAGACAGTGCCACCAGAAATGCTTGTAAAATCGCCAGTTACATGGTAGTACTTCATTATACTGACCTGTCCTTCAAATACCTTGAAATCTAAGCAGATAAGCAACAGGGCAATGAGAATAACCTTTAGTCTGACCCATTTTGTTCCTTATTTTGTCAGTGGTAACGCATGTAACAGTAGCAGCTGTGTGGTAGTACTTCTCTTGAGATGGAGATCTTTCCTAACACCTCAAAACTAAGTAGGTGAGCACACAGGGCAATGAGAATAACCTCTAGTCCAGTTCATTCTGCTTTATATTCCTGTCCAGTAATAGCTGGATAGCTAGCCATTGATCGCTAAGGCAGCTAGAAGGTAAAGCCATTTGTAGCTGAAAAATTATCCCTCTTTTTCTATCAGCAGCATTGGAAATCTTTGTGCTGGAAAGCAGGTTGGGATTATGTTCAGAAGCTGCTCATGGAGTTGTCCCTTATCCACTATGGATTTGTGTAATTTGATCTTAAAATCAAATTGCCAAAGATCATCAAAAGATCAAGTTGTGTAATTTGATCTTAAATCTGTTTATGTTTTTGATCCCTGTAATATTCTCACATTGTGAGTTGCACAGTTCAGTTATGGGCTTAGTATCATAATGGGTTCTTGGTTTGGGGCTTCATGCAACTTGTTTTCATCTAAGGTGTGTAGAAGTGTGTACTCTGGGGGATTGTGTAACACCTTGTTTCAGCCACATAAGAGTTTGTGCTCAGCATTGGTCTCTTTTTCTTCAAGAATGGCAAGTTTTAGGGTTTTATTACATGGAAACTTCTTAATGCCTTATATCATTGCATTCCCTATTCTTTTTTTCACTATTTTTCTTGTGTCAAATGCTGTATATTTTCTTGTCTTTTATCTTGCTGCGTCCATGTAATTGCCCCCTTACTGAAATCTTCTCTTGGCCGCTAGCTGTTTGTTCTTTCTTCTCATTATCTGTGTTCAGATTTTGTCCATTAATTTCCCACTTTTTTCTTTCTTCTCTAGGTGGTGATGAATAGGGAAAAGAGTGTTTTGGGTAGCAAAAAGCAATTCAAAGATTTGCAAATGGTGAGAGCTGGAAGAAACAAGTGCATTTGTTCCCAGTCCTTAACTAACATCTAATTTTATTTGCCTTAAGGATGTTTGAATTGCTTTTTTTTTTTTTTTTTTT